CCCTGAGTGTGCACAAGAGTCCTGAGTGTGCACAAGAGAGTGCACGAGAGCCCTGAGTGTGCACAAGAGTCCTGAGTGTGCACAAGAGAGTGCACGAGAGCCCTGAGTGTGCACAAGAGTCCTGAGTGTGCAAAAGAGGCCTGAGTGTGCACAAGAGTCCTGAGTGTGCACAAGAGGCCTGAGTGTGCACAAGAGTCCTGAGTGTGCACAAGAGGCCTGAGTGTGCACAAGAGTCCTGAGTGTGCACAAGAGTGCACTAGAGCCCTGAGTGTGCACGAGAGTCCTGAGTGTGCACAAGTCCTGAGTGTGCACAAGAGAGTGCACAAGAGCCCTGAGTGTGCACAAGAGTCCTGAGTGTGCACAAGAGTCCTGAGTGTGCACGAGAATCCTGAGTGTGCACGAGAGTCCTGAGTGTGCAAGAGAGTCAGACATGTTTAAACTTTAAAGAATAACAGTAAACAAAGACAAACAAGCTGTGAGTGTAAACAACCAGGAAAAACAAAGCTGTAGTTTGTTTATTTGGACGTTACCATGGAAATGACCTGTTATTCATATTAACAGTAGAAGTATAAATGTAAATTAAACAGAAAATTTAATATAACAGCACTCTCAGAAACATGGCTTAATCATGTTAATATTGAGGGGTATGAGTTTTTTTAAATACAGAAGTAATGGAAGAGGTGGAGGAGTACCTCTATTTATTAATAAGGAAATAAAATGTAGGAAAATTAATGAAATGTCAGTAATTATAAATATTATGGAAATAATAACAATTGAAGTAATAAACAAAAATTCTAAAAATATAATAAGCTGTGTATATAGACCACCAGACTCAAATATACAACTATTCACTGATCAAATCATGAAGCTACTGGAAAAGGTTTCTAACWAAACAGTTGTTTTTGCTTGAAGACTACAATACTGACCTTGGTAATAAAACAGAGACAAATAATTTTGGTACATTTATAAACTCAATGTACAGTCTAAACCTTTAATCGTATCACAACTCAGAGTGCAAAAATAATTAATAACATTTTTTGCTAACATAACAAATAAAGAGATTATGGGCAGTATTTTGATTACTGATGTAAGTGATCACTTACCAGTTTTCACAATTTACAACAACGATCAATGCAATACAAAAATACATACAATTAGGAAAAAAATAATAATCAATAAAATCCCTGGATAAATTAAAAGATGATTTGATAAAACAAAGATGGAAGGATGTGTATGTTGACGATGTAAACAGAGCAGATGACATGTTTATGAATATTTTAGGTCTGTATGGAAAAATTGTGTACAAAAAATGGAATTTATGTAACAAATAACTGCTATCGATCAAAAACAGTATTGTTTGAGTATTTATGTAGATTTAAGGAAAGCATTTGACACAACTGATCACAGTATTCTTGACAAATTAAGTAAATATGGTATTAGCGGGTCGGCACTATGGGTATCCAGTTATTTGAAAGATAGGAAACAGTTTGTACAGATAAATGGTGTAAGATCTAAACTTGGTAATGTCACATGTGGAGTCCCTCAAGGCTCTGTATTGGGACCTAAGTTATTCATTTTATATGTGAATGACTTAGTAAATGTGTCAGGACTTTTCAAATGTGTTTTATTTGCTGACGATACATTTTTTTGTTTAAAAAGGTAAAGGTAAAGGTGCTTTATTTGTCATCAGTGTATGTTTCCACACAATGACGAAATTGTGCTCTGCATTTAACCCATCCACACCCAAGTGTGGAAGAAAAAATGTTTGAGAAAGTATTTGAGAAAATACTAAATTGGTTTCAACAAAACAAATTGTCATTAAATTTGGTTAAAACAAATTATATGATATTTAGTAACAGGAAGACAACTGTTGATTTCTCATTTAAAGTAGACAGTGTTGAGATCTGTAGAGTCAGAGAGGAGAAATTTCTGGGTGCCATCATTGGTGACAAGCTGATATGGAGACCTCACATACATTATTTAAGAACAAAAATATCTAAATCTATAGG